AAACAACAATTATTACAACTTGAAGAGGAACGAGAAACGCACGCACGCCCAGGCCTTCGTCACGAACACCCATTCAACCTGCTCTTATTGCAAGAAAGAGGCACATCCACTCTTCTTATGCGCAGAATTCAGAAACATGCCAGCCGCCAAACGATTGAAAATTGTACGTGAACAATCATACTGCATCAATTGTCTACGCAACAACCACCAGCTAGATGACTGCTACTCGCAAAAAAATTGCCGTCTCTGCGAAGAACGACATAATACATCGCTGCATCATGCACTCCTCGCCGAAAAACCGTCATCAACAAAAAAAGGTATGTCAGAACAGTCACAGCCTATTGAACATCACTATCAACAAACGAATGTCTCACCTTTAAAACAATCCACACTTATCACGCACCCTCCCAGCGACCAAATAATTCTCAGTGCCATCATAAATGTTCTCGATCTAAACAAGAAACCAGTAAAATGCAGGGTTTTGTTAGATACCGCGTCAACAGCAAATTTCATCACTGAAGAGCTAGCGAAAAGGTTAAGAATACCAAAAATTAAATATTCAGTACCAGTTGATGCGCTGAATGATTTATTAACTTGCAGTAAGCATCTCATCACCGCCACAATCCAATCAGTTAACAAAAAATACGAAACAAATGTTCAATGTTTGACAATTCCTGTAATTGCCGGGCTTATACCAACTCAACCGATTCCACGAGATAATATTACCTTGCCATCGAATATTAAATTAGCTGATCCAAACTTTTATAGACCTAGTCCTGTCGACATGCTATTAGGTTCAGCCCCCACGTTGGAATTGTTTACAACTGGGCAATATCATGTAGCAGGTCAAAATGGATCTGCTATAATTCTGCAAAAAACACGACTCGGGTGGGTAATAGGAGGTAGTCTATCAACAAAGGTCCCTCAGAAAAAACATCAGATATTTTCTACACAAATTAATATAGACCTCACGAGATTTTTTGAAATCGAAGAAGGGCCTGCGAGACATCTCCTGTCACCAGAAGAACAAGCAGCTGAGGTACACTTCCTGAAACATCATAGCAGAATGAATGATGGACGTTACGTTGTGTCCTTGCCATTCAAATCCAGTCTACCTACATTAGAAGAGTCCAAAGACATGGCTCTTAAACGGTTCAACTCCCTGGAAAGAAAACTCAACAAAGACGTCAACCTCAAAAAACAATATCACGCTGTGATTACAGAATATCTTTCACTTGAACACATGTCCAAGGCAACAGACACCACATCTCCTGGATTTTATCTACCACATCATGCAGTCATCAAGGAAAGCAGCATGACAACGAAGGTAAGAGTTGTGTTTGATGGATCCGCAAAAACATCGAACGGAATCTCTCTTAATGAAACTCTTATGGTTGGGCCTACCATACAAGACGATTTATTCTCCCTAATCATTCGATTCAGAAGCCATCAATACGTCTTAACAGGAGATATCGAAAAAATGTATCGTCAATTCCTTGTCCATCCCAACGATCGTAAATATCAGCGAATTCTCTGGCGAGACGAAAATGATGAAATCACAACCTACGAACTCAACACTGTGACCTTTGGACTATCAGCAGCCCCCTTCCTGGCAATCAGATGTCTCCAACAACTGGCGCGAGATGAGTCAAAAAATTTTCCCATCGCATCACGTATCCTCCAGGAAGATTTGTACGTTGATGATTTATTAACCGGATTCGATTCAGTTGAGGATGCTCAACATGCTCAGGCAGAAATCACTCAGCTATTATCAAGAGGAGGGCTGAACATTCGACAATGGGCTTCAAACGAGGTTAAAGTACTCCAAGGCTTGTCCCCTGAACAGATTAATCAACATCTACAACTCGACAACGACAAAACAATAAAAACTTTAGGCATTTCATGGGATTCTGAAATCGATGCAATCAAATATAAAACTAAATCAATTAACCTAAACAACACAATCACAAAACGCATAATTTTATCAATAGTAGCTTCAATTTTTGATCCATTGGGACTTCTTGGTCCTGTAATTTTAAAAGCAAAAAACATCATTCAACAACTTTGGTCTGCAAAACTTGATTGGGATGAATCCACACCACTCAATATCCAGACACTCTGGATTAATTTGTGTTCTGAATTACCACTAATCAATGAAATTCAATTTGATAGAAAAGTCGTAATAAAAGATGCTCAAGAAATACAAATACACGGGTTCTGTGATGCCAGTAACGTAGGTTATGGAGCCTGCATTTATCTAAAATCAATCAATAATCAAGGTTCAAGTCAAATCAATCTTTTGTGCTCTAAATCTCGAGTAGCACCAATTCAGACCCCAGTTCGAATACCACGTCTCGAACTGTGTGGAGCACATACACTCACCATGCTATACGATTCAGTAAGAAAATCAATTAACCTTCCTATATCCAAAACAATCCTCTGGACAGACTCCACAATCACCCTTCACTGGATCCATACTCCTCCTCACACTTTGAAAACCTTCGTACAAAATCGAGTGGCAGATATACAACAAAAAACAATGAATTCGAATGAGAATTGTGAGTGGAAATATGTGCCATCCGGTGACAATCCTGCTGACACATTATCCAGAGGTCAATTACCATCCGAATTCATAAAAAATAAACTTTGGTCAAACGGTCCTCACTGGTTAAAACAGACACCAGAGCACTGGCCACAACAACCTCTTATTCAAAACCCCACTGATAACAGTGAGAAAAAAAGAATCATATGCTTACATACAAATCTTGACAACTCTCTATTGAAAAACTTTAACTGTTTCACCAAACTAATACGAACATTTGCATATTGTTTTAGACTAGCAGACATCATCAAAAGGAAACGACACTGGCAAGGGAGGTTATCTACTGCTGAACTACAAGAGACACGAAACCGTATACTCCAACTTGTTCAATCCTCTGCCTTCTCCGCAGAGCTTCAAGCCTTGAAACAAACTCAAAGAAATGGAACTAGGCATCATCACAAACTCAATCAACTCAATCCATTCATCGACGACAAGGGCCTCCTACGTGTTGGAGGGAGATTAAACGCAGCAAGGTTAACTGATCTACAGAAGCATCCAATTGTTCTCCCAAAAAATCATATCATCACAGACCTCATCATTCGAGATGAACATCTCAAGAATTTACATCTGGGCGTTCAAGGAACTTTATACAGCATAAGGCAGACATACTGGATCTTAGATGGCCGCAATCAGATTCGCAGAGTCATCCGTAAATGCGTAACGTGTGTCCGCGCCAACCCGCCTCCCACCAATTACTTAATGGGACATCTACCAGCAGCCAGAGTCTCCAGAACCATCAGACCCTTTGTTCATGTAGGCGTAGATTACTGTGGCCCTTTTTATATAAAGGAGAAAAAATTCCGCAACAGGGTCAAGGTTAAGGTTTATGTAGCCGTATTCATCTGTCTTGCAGTCAAGGCAGTGCATCTAGAAGTGGTCAGTGATTTAACTTCATCTGGATTCCTCGCAGCACTCGATCGATTCATCTCACGAAGGGGAAAACCAACACTCATCGAATCAGACAACGGTACTAATTTCACTGGGGCAAATAATGAAATGAAAAACATCGTAACAACCTTGCAGCAACCACATGAAGACGAGAAAATTACTCGTGCCTTAAGTAATCAGGGCATTCAATGGAAGTTCACACCTCCACTGTCACCACATTTTGGCGGCATATGGGAAGCCGCTGTAAAGTCTTTTAAACATCATGCAATCCGAGTCATGGGCCTAGTTCTTTTTACATTTGAAGAGCTTAACCTTGGTCATTCAGATCGAAGCAATTCTGAATTCTCGACCGCTCACTCCAATTTCCACCGATCCTCAAGACCTTCAAGCATTGACACCAGCCCATTTCCTGATTGGAGACACATTGACAAGCCGACCTGAATTGAACCTCATGGACAAAAAAGTCAACATGCTGAACAGGTGGGAATTGATTCAAAAAATCAAGCAAGAATTTTGGGCGCGATGGAACAAAGAGTACTTGAATGAACTCAACATTAGAAGAAAATGGACTACAGGATCTCATGATATCAAGAAAAACTCAATAGTGTTACTCAAAGATGATAATCTCCCTCCCATGCAATGGAGGCTCGGGCGTGTCATCGAAACTCATCCTGGAGCTGATGGAATCATCAGAGTCGTGACGGTCAAAACAGCAACAGGAGAACTGAAACGGAACATCAAGAAACTCTCACCCTTGCCAGTGTCACATCCTGATGACGACGCCAATTAATGTAACATTACTGAACATTTTAATTCTTATTGATCGTAGAACTCTCAACGGGGGGAGTATGTTTCGTACCGAAAATTATACACATTAATTTTTCTAAATATCGAATGTCTCATCTAATTTAAACTAATCCAGGCAACTTTCAAAACATTTTTATCGGTGATTTTATAAAAAATTCTCTGGGCCAATTCCCCAGTCATTATAATTTTCCCAACTCCATTTGACAGTTTTAAAACAAAATTTATCTCCATCCGAACACAAAATTATCCCTTGACCGTAATAAAACTGTTTCTCGAAATTTTGAAATTTCCTATCTTTCACAAAAACTTTCAACGACCGTAAAATGTTTGTCCAAAAGAAATAATCCTGAAAATCCTACGACTTAATGTGTTTCGTCGCGACTGACGTATTTTCCCAAGAACCCTAGACAAGACTTTCAACAGAAAATTAATTTCAGTCAATTTATGACACAGTCCCTAACTGCACTTCACACTTCTTGTCCATAAGACGTTTATGACTTAATCCCTTCCAGATGAACTTTCAGTCGCGTTACCCTCTGTTTCCCTTCGACGTCATCACAAAATAGAACTCTCCATTCACTCCACGCGGACACTCCCACTATACGTATTGCTCAGGTCAAGAAATCGTCACCAACCAATCACGACCTTCAAAATTCACAACTCATCAATCCTAAGACCTCACTCCCTACCACTCACTCTTTTGACCTCTTCGAAACCTTCGTCAATTTTCACCACCCCAATTGAGATAGTTCTTCACGCAGATTTCACTTCTATTCCAACTTTCGTGAAGGAATAATCTAATAAGAGTTAGCGCGAAAAATTGATTGAGACATTCGATAGTCATTTTAAATTTTTCTTAACAAAACAACCAGAACAAAAAAAAAAAAATCTTGTAAACATATATACTCATATCATCTAAATAAACATATTTTAAAAAATAAAAGTCGTGAGTTATTCGAGTGAATTTAATTATTAGCTCGGAAGTATCGATTAATATAATAGAGTCGATACACTTCTATTGGCTAGGAGTAAGTGCATCATCTGTGTATCCTGCACCTTTGTGGTAATGTGAACTTTCAATGTTTCCAATGAATGACATTCTTTCATCGCTAAATCCACTACTGACGAGTAGTCAGTCAGTCGCCGTTGATCCTCCAGAGAACGCAAGTATCTTCCACAAAGATGCACAATTCCTTTAATGAACTCTTCATTATGATATCTGATGAGAATACTGCTCCCAGAGACTGACAAGTGTTGCTGCTCTGTACCATTGCATCCATTAAGATTAATCCTTAATTTTTTAACAATAGACCAGCTCGAGGCTTCCTGGGTTTGCCACCGTTTACAAACTAAAATATAGTACATTTGGAATTTCGAACGAAGGATTCAATATCAATTTCTGACTAATATACATTCAACCCTTTAAGTTATTACTTGATTTTATTGATAACCTAAACAGTGTTATAGCGTTTTTTTTAAATGTTGAGCCAAGACTGCTGAACATTTTTTTTTCAATACATATGATTTGGATTCAGGCTTTCTGTAGCGGAGACTCTCGAAATCAATTTCATTACTTTTATAACGACAATCGAACAACAAAAATTGATATAACTTATTCACTTCAGCAACACAAATTTTGTATTTCAACCATTTATATGAAATTAATATCCATTTATTGGGAAAGTGAGGAAAAGTAACGTGGTTTAGATCTAGTTCAAATTTGAATATATTTGTTTATAAACTGGTATTAACCATATCCACCTATCTATTACCCGAAGTTTCAGGACATATTTTTTCAAAAAGTGAAGGAAAGTTCGACAGGGATACAGGGATACAATTGAATTTAGCAACGATATCGCTAGATTTCTTTATCCATTCTTTTCGTTTATGGTATTGATGTTGGTTGAATTCTCACAAATTTACTGAACTGGTCATGACATTAGCTTAATTACATTGCAAAATAAAAATGAACAAATATGAATAAATTTTCCAAAAACCTTCGCTGAGACGTGGTCGTTCAAGTATTGGAACGTAGGAGATGATCACCAGCAAGCAGTCGTCATTTAAATCATTCATTGTTGATTTGTGGATTATTTTATGGCTTTAATTCACTTCACTCTGTCAATTCTGTGAAAAAATTATTTTGTATTAAGTCTCAATTCCGCAAATCATGATTAATGTCGAAAAATCCTCAGAGATGACGAATTGGCGATCGTCGGACAGCCCTGGTGATTTATTAATCTTTTATGATGTATCTTTCAATATACATTAAATGGAAAATAATGTACTGGAGAATGATTGTGCACTTCGTCATGCTCTACAGAGGTGATTTGAGAACAAATCAGTAGCGAAGTGGTAAAAAGAGATATGTCCATTTTTTTTTAATTCTCAATATTTCTATTATTACTTGCAGATTAATGTACAAATATAATTAATGGAAAAAACAATCGAAAAGAATGTACTTATCTCCTTTGACTACTTTGCAACTGAAATGTCTTTATTCACATCACAATTTCAACCTATTTCAGAAAAAATGTTTTTTTGCGGCAAATTTTTTTTCCATTGTGTTTCAAGTCGGAATTATTAGGAGCCTCTGAGTAACATATGACCATCCAATTTATGAAAGTTGTTGTTGTCAAGTGTGAGAGCTATACATTATTCAGAAATTACTCTCTTCATGTGTCAAGTAAATTCTTTTAATACTGGTCAGAAACTAACGGTTTCGGGTGCACAAAGCGTGCCTTCCAAAAATTGGCGAATACTTTTTATGTACATTTGTTGCGGTTTCATTCACAAACAATGATCGAGACAAATGCAGGAAGCTAATTAATAATTTTCATCGTAATTTGGACAACAACAAAATGTGTTAGAAAGATCAAAATAGAATTCTCGTGTAAATCATAGCTTTTCATTATTGTTGTGCACCTGGGGGATCAAGCTAGCTGATTCCGCAGGGGGACTTGCAACAATACAGAATATAATGAAGCACAACAAGGTACTTACTTCTTTCACTTGATTCAATTGTTAAAAAACTTTATTATTGCTATTATTGTATTCAATATGTGCTTTCGAATTATTCAACGCTTCTGCATGAGGACAACCAGCTGAGTGGGATTGTGTCTGCATAAAAATCCGTCCTTTTCAAAATGTGTCCAATTGTTTTGGAAGCGCGTTCCCTCCAGTGATGCCCCCATTTTGCATAATTCCCACTAGTATCTATAGCTCCCACCACTGACAATTAAGGTAACGGGCCAGCCATTGCATCTAACCCTTTCAGCACCAGTTTCCATTAATTGCTTTACAGCCAATTACGCGGAAATCGTCACCGCTGTCGGGAGTGTAAGTTTAGATAAGTGTTACTACAATTATTTCCAGTGTATTTTCACAGGCAAATTATCCAGCAACATTTCTTCGTGAGGCTTGTTCACTATGATGGAATTACCGGAGGACTGCCTTATGAAAATATTCCACTTTCTAGATTGGCAGGACAGGCTCAACGCTGAAAAAGGTACTTGTCCATTATAACTCTCAAGCTCAATGAAGTAACAAAATAACTTGATGAAGTTTTAAAGACTTTCATTGATGAACCTTAGGTTTCGGTTGATTATTGATATATTACGGGGTACCTACCACAGTATAACAAGCCAGACTCATACTATTTTAAGCCGTGTGCTTTGTAATGATACTATTTTTGCAGCCTCAAATTTTCATTGGAAATTATTTAAAATGGTGTGTAACGTAAGAGTACGAAGTTTGGAAGTCGGGTCTGTCGATGCCAATGTCCAAATGCCAATTTTTGGTAAATTGAGGAATTTATTCCTGAAACATTATCCCATGAAACTGGAAATTTGTGCAGTTTACTGATCTGCGAAATTTGCCACGCGATTACTCGTAAAGTTTTGGAGAACAAGCCATTGATTTTTTCACGTATCCTGCCATTTGCAATAATTTTGATCTTTACTAGCCTAAATTTTTCAGTGATTTGTGGCACTGACTAGAGAGAATTATAACATTATTGACTCTATCATTGAAATCTAGTGGAATCTAACGCCGATTTTATATCTGTCTTGATTGTTTTTAAATCCAAACGCTACTATGTGCCTAATGCAGCGCGCGGTCATGCGCGGTGAGAACCGCGCGATCCTTGACGTAACTCTACCTTCGTGGATATCGTTTCAACCTATCGGTTTATCAAATTTTTGTAAAAAATAAAAAAAAATGGAGGGGCACTTTGTCATTAAACTTTATTCCATATCTACAATCCACGCAAGTTACATCGGAGACCCTACCAGCGGGATAGAAACGCATTGGCGTTTAATTTATCTGTACGACTTGTAAAAATAATAACAAGGTGAAAATCGAAATGAAAGGTTTTCATAGTATCTAATGCGAATAATTAAAACCGAATACAGACTTTCTTTCTGTACCGATCAAAACTTTTGGTAGCGAATATTGGTGCAGGGACTATGAGGACCAAACATGACGACTGTAGTCGCTGATGGTCTTAATGTTGCGTCGATTTAAATTTACAATAACTAGTGACGCAGTAATATGATTCAAGAACGGGGTTTATAACGATCAAGCATTATTATTTGTGAAATAATTTTCCCAGTGAGTCTTACATGGAGAGGGAAAGTTCAGCGAGTTTGGACTGACGTCAAAACATTCAACTTTCCTCAATTGGAATGTATGAGATCGTCAGGGGACATTGCAATCATTTTCGAACGATGTGGTCATTATGTTGAGTCAGTGGTATTAATAGTGAAGAATACCACGAATCATGTGCAATTAATGAGACTTCTCCAGCAACTTGAAAGAATTGCAAATGTATGTTAAGGGAAGTTTATTCTCGTCACAATTACATGAATACGGAGGATGATTTTTCACGGATTTTTTTAGAGTAACCAGAAATTAACAAAACTCATTATCTGCCACATTCCTGCGAACTTTCATTGGGGAAGCCTTCACAAAATTCCCATGAGC